CTCATATTACAGAATACATGTGTGAGAGACACCTATTCAGAGCTATTGGCATCAATCATAGTGTGGATATAATCATGATTGTTTACACGCTATTAATTTATTAAGTCATTACATTTATTTGTTTAGAATTACACCTGGAATTTTTATTACGCATAAAGTTATCTCCTGGATAATTCCAACTGCAAGATACTTTATTCATTAACACAGTTCCCGATAAAATGTTTTATGCACAACTTTACAAATATTGACCCAAAAAAATATTTTGGTGATATTCCAAAATAACTTTACATTGTTAATGTTATGGATAAACTTAACTGATATTTGCCATGATGAATTACGTAAGTTATATTATATGTAACAACTGCAAAATCCAACTGTAGTGAGTGGGTGAGTTAATATTTATTGTCACATTGGCAATATTTCAGTTATATCGTGACAAGAACAATTTATTATAGATCAATACAAATATAAATTAAAAGTCGAAGAACAGTAAAACTGCTAGTATATCACATGTATTAAAGTAAAATTAGCACGCTATCATAAAACGATATTATTAAATAGAACAATACAATATAAAACTTGGCTATTAGTCTGGTAGGATGGGTACAGCATTAAAGTCCCATCGAAGTTTTGTGATGAAAGCAAGACATTGTGTTTTTTGTATTCATCAGACATGTTAGTTAAATAAAAAGCTTGGTTCCAAGTTAAAATATGGTGCAAATAGTACTTTTGAGCACTGTACAAAGTGGTTGTGGAAAAGGTTGCTAATAGGTCAGAAGGTCATAATGGGAAAGTTGAACATTTAAAGTTTGAGGTTATTAACTTTATCCAAGTGTGTTTCTCTATTTCATGAAATATTTTATTACAAGAAAACCATAAAATATATTTTTTTAAATTAAAAAAAATAAATATAATGAACACTCCCTCTCTCAAAATGGCAGGTAGCAGACGATTTTAAGCAGATGTAGGTTTTGTGCATTTTGTAAGTATATAATTGCTTCATTTCATCAACTCAATGTAAATCAAGTTATTAAAGAACAGCTATGTATGAAACAAAAAAGAGACGTTTATGTTTGTTTGGTGAGGCTGTCAGTAAGGGAGCAGTCCTTATTTCAAAATGTAGTATGTCAATATCAGATTATGATTTATCAATTTCTTATTATTACGCTTGAAGTTTTTCTTCTAAAAGCAGAGTTCTTTGAAAATAGATAAGAATATAATGAAATGATGTGGAGAAAACACTATTTTCTGCTTCACACTCTCTCAATTAAATCCCTTGAAATAATTTTCAGAGCGAATAACTTTCTAAAATGGTTATAATCTTTGAAAAAAAAGATATACAAATAAATGTAGGGAGAATATTTTTTATCAGCAGAATAGGAGAAGACACGGTGTCCATATTTAGCTTGATTGACTTTGGGGATAACAAGAAGGTGTTGATTCCCTGATCTGAGAGATCTAGATGGTGCATAAGCCTGAAGAAGACCTGAAAGTTAGACTGGAGCCGTGTTAGTCATGCACTGGTATGCGAGACAGAATAGTTTGAAGGAGATTCTGTGTTTCATGGGCAGCCAATGAAGGTCCTTTAGAGTTGGTGTGATGTGCTTTTTCTGGTGATCTGGAAGGTATTGCGAGCAGCTAAATTCTGTATGCATTGGAGTTGGTCAGTGACACAAGATGGAGATCCGGCCAAAAGGTTGTTACAGTAGTCTATACGAGATGTGACTAGGCTGAGGCGGAGAGTTTTGGAGGCATCTTTGGTAAGAACGGTCTGGCCTTGCTGATATTGTGGAGATGGAAGTAGCAAGTTTTAGTAACATACTAGACATGTTCTGTCATACTTAGATCTTGATTGATGACAACACCCAGATCCTTGACAGTGGAAGAAAGAGGAATGGTTGCTCTACAGACACACACACTAGTAATATCACACTGCTTGCGTTTTCCAGCCTGTCCCAGAAGAATGGACTCTTTTCTCTTAATTTAATTTCAAGGCATTTGATGACATCCATAAATATATTGTGGCAACAGTCTGATGTCTGACAGAGAGACGCTCCATAGCTGACTCTGTGTTTGGTTGAAATAACTTCCACAGCTGCGTGTCATCTGCGTAGAAGTGGTCAAGATTAAGGATTGCTACAACAGAGTCAAGTGGAACAGTGTAGAGGGTGAAGAGGATCGGACCAAGCACGGATCCTTGAGAGACTCCGCACTCAAACCTAGATGCGGTTGACACAGACTCACCAACAACAACGGTTAGAGTCCTGTCCTGTAGATAAGATGCCAGCCAGGATAAAGCTGAATCCAAGTTCTGTATCAAGTCTTTTGAGGAGTCTCTGGTGATTAATCGTGTCAAAGGCACTGCTTAGGCCAAGTAATGTGTGCAGGGTCACTTGTCCTGTGGTATTCAGCAGAGCCGTCTCTGTGCTGTGGTGTGCTCTGCAGGCTGATAGGAACACCTCATAGAGGTTATGCCAGGAAAGGTGGCCCATGAGACGACTGGAGACTGCACGTTCAATGAGTTTGGATGTAAATGCTAAGTTTGAAACAGGCCTGTTTTTTTTATCCTCCTAATCAAGGCTTGATTTCTGCAGATGTGGCCTAACTAGAGCTGACTTGAATACACTTGGGACAAAACCAGATGAAGTAGAACTCGTCTAATAAAACATTATAGTAGTATTTTGAGCCCTTTTGGCTAAGAAGAGTTAATAATCAGCACTAATGTTGGTAAATATCAGTGAAACTATCAATATGAGTTAGATGCGTGCCATCAAACATTTTTGGAGGAATATCAGCTTCATCCACAGCCGCAGAAGACGAAATCTTGTTATGAATGTTCTTGGATCTTTTCGTAGAAATAATCCGAAAATGTCTGTGCTATTACTTCATTGTCATCAGATGTCGGAAGTGTCGATTCAAAGTGTTTACTCAATATACTGAGCAAAAGTTTGAACAGCAACTTTGGACATGACTCGTTGGCTTCAATCTTAGAATTGAGATGTTGATTTGTCTGATGACCGTTGTTGAGTGATTTTTGGCTGAAATATACATTTGGCGATGAATCTCCAGGAAAGATTGTATTTCATCTGCGTTCTGCTTTGCTCTTGTCTTTTTTCGCTTGTCGAACTTCAGGTGTGAAGTCCCAAGCAGATGTTTTAGTGACTGGTATGACTATGTCCTTCACTGGTGCAAGTTTGTCTATATAGCAGCTCAGATAGAACTCTATTGTATAGCAGAACGAGACTCTCAGCATCAGATGGTGGCTCAAGTATAAGGTATGAGTTTAGCAAATTGTCATTAATAGTATTCATATCCAGGGAGCGCATGTTCCTACAGCGAGTAATCTTCACATTTGGACTGGGTATTGAGAGGTCCAAGCTCACAAAGATATGGAAATGGTCAGAGAGCTGTAGATCCTATATAGGTACACAACTGACACAAGCATCTGAAGCACGGGTAACTATCCAGTCCAGAGTGTGTCCACCTCTGTGGCTTGCCTCAGACACTTGCCTCAGTCATTGAGATTAATTATTTGTTTAGTGTCATGGTTATCCTTGTTGTCAAAATGTAAATTTAAGTCGCCTACAATGATAAGAGCTACTTCGTCAACTTATCCAGTGTGTGCCGAGACGGTGCCGAGCAGTAATTGCTGCCAATGGTGTCCATACAAAGAACTGACTTTGACGCCATCTTGTGGATTCAAGCAAAGAGAAACACAACAGTAAAGGCTTTTGTCTATAGACGTTTGAATTTTCACCTTTTACCATTGGGATTACATGAAATAATAGCTCTTAAACTAATGCAAGAAATTCTTCTCAAAAATGGCTTGTGCGTTTCTTTTTTGGAAGAGTATATTTCTGGGTCGCAGTTTCATGTAAAGACCTCTTCTATAGTTGATAAACAGGGTAAAAAGTATATTCCTTTTTCATATTGTACTAGTTCTATACAAAATATATGCCTTGTGAAGAAATGGGGTTTTTATTCATCATTGTAACTTTTGGACCCTAAAAATGACTCTTTAATGTAAATTTAAGACTAAAATTAAACTATAAAGATCCCTGGTGACTTACAGCATATGAGAAATATATTCCGTAACCAAATATGCATGGTATTTGATATTAAAACCATTGTTTTGTTCTGAATTTTTGCAACTTTTTCAGTTCCCGGTTAAATTTTGGTGGCCATCTTGGATTTTTAGCTAAAAGTAGTTTTGGCATCAATATTCAGATTGGAACCAAACATTTTTTTAAACTCCTTTAACATATAAACACAAAAGAATATATGATTTGCTTTCATCAAAAAACTTTCACGGAATCCCATAACCTCCTTGACTATATAGGTTGCCAACAAGTTGAACAACAGAAGGTAGATGGGGACGGGAACTTACAGTATTTTTGCTACCTGCATGGACCCTAGCTGGATTTACATCATCCCCTCAGCTGTTGACAGTTCAGACATTAATTTAAATGAACACGTATACTATGATTAAAAATGTGGTGAGATTAAACCAGAGACCATATAAGATATGGTTTCTGATTAAACGTACGATGAAAGAGTTCAAAGACGTCGTCATACATACCCTCTCAGGGGGGCAATAAAATCCCACTGTAAGATATCAAATGCAATCAAACGATTCAACAATCTGCACACATGTCAACTCCACCCTTACTGTGGGTACCATGCTTAAACTATACCAGCCTTTAAATGAAAACAGAGAAATCCATGTAACAAATAAACTTACCTCGACTAATGAATGGGCCAGCCTGAAGACGACGCTGTGACAACTCTGCAGCTGTTTGGCAGGTATCCACGTGCTTATTCATGCATTCATGCAACATTGCCTTGGTGCGTTTATAGTCTGAGCATAATCTGTAACATGACATAGTTTTCTGAGTCACACAGCGAGTGTCGAGCATGATTATCCATGGCATGCCCCATGTAACAGTGTTATCGCCAGTGCCGAAAAACGTTTGTCACCGGAAGTACTAAACAACATAATGTCTCGTGAAGTGCCGTGACCTACTTACGGGCCCTATTGATCATTCGAATACGTTTGGTTTGGAACATGGGAAACGCTCAAGTATGTTTTCATACAAAAAGGAATACTTAATTACAAAATATATTGAAAAATGTTTGATATCGTTTCGGTACACTTACAGAATACCGGATACCTACTAGCCATATTGTTTAGTGTCACGTCACCCTAACCCTAACCCTAATTCTAAGATGCCTAGCGGTTAGAACAATCGAAAAAAAATACATTATCAGACAATAAAGGTATAGTTTTTTGATGACGTAACAATTGAATAACGTTATCCCGTCACTACGCCATTCTAGTGTGCCCCCTCGTAATCGAACCATTTTACATTACGTCACAATGTAAGCGACGTCACGATGCATGTCAGTTGTCATCGCCTCGTACGGCCTCCTACAGTAAACTACTCCGTTGCATCCCGTTTCTTGGTTTGCAGTTGCTTCACGCAGCTAACATAACTGGTGGAAACATTACGTTTATGTTTTACGGCGGTTAAAATGTCTCAATTCGACTCACAAGTTTTCAGCGACACGGTAACGTTCGCAATGTTTACATTCCCACAATGCAATCGTGGAATGTCGCTTGACTACTCAGCTTCATCGGGATGTACTGATCTAAACTTACGTTGGCAGTAGAAATGCGACGTTCATATTGCCCCATATGGTTTACGTTAATGACAGATGTAATTAAGATAATTCAGAGAAGATATTTAATCCGAACGTAAACCGTCATCAAACTGTTATCGTTTGTTTTTTTCTGGTAACGTTCGTCTTAACGTAGGGGGGGCAGACACATCAATAGAACAGCGCGCCAGTTAGCCCTGTGCGAGGATTCTTAATTTAGGTCAGCGACACCGTCGTTTGTTTTCTGCCTTAAATTAATCGTAATTATCCTTAGAAAGTATTAAATTTAGCATCTTAGAAAAGATGTAAAGTTCGCTCTACCCCAATGTGTTTTGTAATAAAGTATAGTTTTGCCCTTAACTATTATAACATAGTCCGAGTGCTTTGATGTTATAATAGTTCAGGGCAAAACTATACTTCATTACAAAACACATTGGGGTAGAGCAAACTTCATTTCCTAAACCTTACCCTTACCCTAACCCTAAACCATACCCTAACCCTAACCAAAAGTAAACTCGCGTGCTTTTAAAGATGGCGGAAGGTATCCGGTATTCTGTAATCTTACCATCGTTTCTTTGGGACATTAGTTTACACCTAATAAATTCTGAGATCATACCACAGAAAGCACCTTTACTGTACTTTTGTAACTCAATATATTCCTATTCGGCCTCCTATTCTTTTGTGCCTACTAATCCAACCTGCAATCGAATATCTCCACCAAAAGCTACATAAAACCCAAATCCAAACTATAGCTAATGGAGGCGTCTTAAATGTTAACCTTGTATCATAAATAAATTGTAACAATGTAATGTGAATGGCGAATTGCTCGCTTCTAAATTTGGTATGACTTTTGGTTTTTAAATAATAATGTAATCAAATTATATGGAATGCTTATGAATTAATACTTGATCTCGTCGCTACATGGCTGAAATAATGCCGATGCAACGTAAAACCCAACTCAACTCAACTGTTAACCTTGTCTTTGAAATCAGGGAGACTATAGATTATCCCTGGTGAAATAATAATAATAATAATAATAATAATACTGGAATTTATATAGCGCCAAATCCAACCACTAAGTGGGTGCTCAAATACACCTGCACCAGAGTGGACATAGTTACGTTGTCGGGAAACCGGGACTGACAATATTCTGAATGGTGCATTAACAGGTCCTTTCATTGGACTTGCCTAATCCATTTATGCACACTCGTGGGTGGCTCTGGCTCTTGCAGGTTACGGAAGGACGAAAGGTAACGAATGTGTGACAGTGCAGGAGGTCGTCGCTCGGGGAAGGAGTTATCCCCCTTTGTTTATGTTCAACAGATGTCGCTGTGTGTCTGTTCACTTGGCCTCCCAAGCCTCTTCTTTATTAATTAGGTATGTAAGACGTTTTCTGTAACCATTTTTAATTTATCTCGAGATTTTAAATTTTATCAATCCGTATGACTTCTGTTCTTACACCTTTAGGTTACAATAGAGTTTCATCCAAAGCAAACAAATACTGTCTGTGACATTTTAGTTGATCCACATAATCAGCGAATGACTCATTCCGTCTCGGACTGTCTGCTGAGATACTAATAGCAAAGGTTCATTCTGTGTATTATTTCACTGAGCATGTCCAGAAAGTCAACGTTTAGGGTATTTATTTTCATAACTCATGTAATACAAAATCGAAAATGAATTTTAGAAATACGAAATCTTTTGTATTTTTTCTAGGCGAAAGCAGACAGTGCACTTACAGTTTTGGGTAAGAATCTGACTCGCCATACTTCTGTTGGGATGTTGTTCTGCCAGTGGACTTGTTGGTATATTCTGACCATAAACTATCACCTGTACTCAGTTCCTCCTCTCTGTACATTATCTCTGTGAGATAACAAGTGAGTTAATGAGGTTTGTTTTCTATTACAGTCGTAAACGTACGATGTGCGTATCTATTCTACCTTTCTCCCTTGTAATATTCATTCCTTATTGCTAGAATTTGACGTATATCTTTAACAAAACCCATATGGTCAATGCATAAGATTTAAGGTGGGTCAAGGAGCACAAATAGGCCTCAGGTCAGTAAAATGTCGGCACCATCTTTCACCAAACCTACGTCTGCTCAAACGTGCACACATACATACTATGCGTAAGGCAGTTCGGATCACTAACGAAACAACGACTGCATGCGCCTATGCGAAAAGATGTCTTAAACGCCTAAGGGCAATTGCTGTCTTAGCAATGTTTCATGTTACTCACACCAAAATATGAAATCGATACGATCCTGATTTATTATAGAAAAATGGCAAAAGAAATGTTGCGCCATTACGGCAGTTGCGAATCATTTCAGGGTATTCCGGATCATGTGACAAAACGAGGCAGTGTTTGGTTATTGGTGCACGTTTGGGGCAACATGGGGCTGTGTCAAACAGTAACGCGTGTTTAATTGAACAGATGCATGAACAATATTGATAATGGTGTCTCATTTACGAATAACAAACGCTGCAGTTGATAACAGCATTTGCTAGGTAGATAGTTTTAACACTTGCTGCTCATTACAACACACACACATATTCCAGTATCAGGATTCCAGGTACCAACGTGAGCTAAAAATATTCTCTTGGGGTTTATACATACATGGTTTAAGGTAATGATATCTTCTATATCGAAATTTAGTCATATTCAGAAGTTAATCATACTAAGAGGTCGTGGTGTTTGTGGCTGATGAATTAGGTAAAATTCACTAGACGCAGATCTGTTGTGTATCTAATGTACTATTTTAATATTTTGATGTGGCTTTGACATGCGACTTTAACTTGTAAATCACAACTATCAACACAAAATAATCCATTTTCTTTCACAAACTGTAACGCTTTTATTCAGTTAATATGAGCCATTTATTGTCGTTAGTCACTGAGAGTAAAGCTAACGAAAATAATAAATTAATACTAACATATTTGAACTCTTTATGTGTGTGTATGTTCATATGTCCAAAAAAGAAACAAACTAGTGTCTATTCCAGCCTCATTGATTCCACCTCTGGCATAAGTAACAGGGCATTTTTAATTATCATAAAGCCAAGTCTCTGTTGCCGTGGTTAATCACGTAATGACAAGCATGACCACTCCTCGTCCTTTCTCTGCTGGTGCAAGCCAAGGGGGAGAACTTGGAACAGGTTCTCCATCTGCTCAGCGAACACACTGCCACCCCCCACCAAGAATTCGCCTGAATGACCCTGCAAGACCTCTCAGCACATGACCAATGGGTAGACCAGCTACATCCTTAAGTACAAGATTACGCTTCACATCTGTAACCAAATTATGCATATCTACTGGAAAGGTTTCAATTGACGGTATCCAGACCAGACAAGCATTTAGGTCATGAATATTTGTCTATTCCCTGTCCACTGCGAGAGAAGTCACGGGATCTGTTAACGGGGGTCTAATTTTAAACTTATGATAGCCCTTGATCACACTGTTTTCAAGTCTGATTGGCTGCCTTGAAGGTGCATGACAAGATGCTGCCGGTCTTAGTAATTGAGACAGTAATAGACGGACAGGTACTGCAGCACAGTCTTGTCTTAATGGTTGTGATGAAGACCCCACAGGAGTAAACTGGACACAAAGGAATATTGCTTGACTAAGATCAAAGGAGAGAAATGTAAAATTAATGCGTTTAGGCACACTTGTCTTGTTTAAATGCCTTGTCATGAGAACGTGAGATACGTTTCAAACATGCAGTCTCTGGGTGATGTAAATTACTTGCAAAACCTACTTTGACAACATGTTATGACGATACTTACATTTATGAAATAGGTTTGAATGTCAAGGTAAAATGTACTCAAAGCGTTGTAAATAATACAAGGCCCACTTCTAGTCAGAAAAAAACATAATGCACAATCCGTTTCTCATAGAAATACGTATTAGTGAGAAGTTATGTCATGTTTCTCTTTGTAAAGGATTTAATATGGTGTCAATGTGATATACCTAGTGTTTAGTACGATTCTCACACGAAGGACTCATGAATGGATCATCAGCTGAAACATTGGGATGAGTTGAGCAGTGTGAATGTATCCATCCCTTGCAAGAAACATTCCACCCAAACGTGACCACATTCAAGTTCCTGATCCTCAGTCCACGACATGTGACAACCCATACAGATGACATCCTCCTCCTCTGCTTCACTCACAGCTGGAGTAGCCACTGGTTAACTCTGAATGAAGCCTTCTTCTTTCTCACTGACTTTCCCTTGGAAGGAGCGCGCCTCCTTGCAACATAAACCTAACCTTTGCACTTTTCTCTCCTTCGACAAACTGTCTAACTTTCTGAAGACACTTTAAACTCATGCCCCTGATGCATTCATCTGACGTTACATTGTCTGCCATATTATCAAGAACATGGGTTCTTTTACACAGAGAAACGTGCTTGATGTGTGGCAGTACAAGAGATTCTTGCAGGAGTGGGGATACCGACAACGTATCAACTTCAAAGGACGACTCTCCATCATCATCCTCAGTCATATCAAACGGTGTAGCGACGCAGCAAGGAATTCCAGTCCAGATATGTCCGCAGTGGCTGAGGTTGCATGTCGGATACTGATAGTCTTCATGCATGACTTATCAACTAGGTACTGTCGTTCCCTCCAAAATCCAAACGTTAGCCCATATCAGTATTTACTCACGGAGACTTAAAATGTTTGTTTGCTGATTTACCTTTTAGCCATTAAAAGTTAGAGGTAAGCCCTTGACCCAAAACGAACGTTACAAAAACTACGACTTCACCAAAACGTATCATATAGATTAATACATCATGTTTAAAATGTGACTATTCTAAAATCATTAAATACTGGTCAATATGTCACTGCCTATTCAAGTAAACAATTGCAAAAGTTTTCATTCTTTCCTGTTGAACGCTCAAATAATTATATTTTGAATTGTAAAAATTATGCTAGTTTAGTGGCTGTTGCACATTGAACTATACTGTATCTGTACTGTATATGTATACTGTAGCTATGTTTGTACCATACAAAAATACATGAAGTTATTAAAACAAAAGAATTATATGAGTTGGAAAGAACAATCTTTTCAACACCTAAGCGTTATGAAGTTGGTTATTTTCCAATGTTGATAACCCGTTACCTTGCATACTCTTCTGTACAGCAAATTGCAAAACAGGTGAAATGAAGATTAACAAATGTTATGTATCTGCTTTATGCAAATTACATCCTCCACAGACCCTAAAGTAAGTATATGTTTTAAATAAAAGGAACCGATGTAACATCGTAAAAATAATTACTTTATTTCAACAGTTATTAACATTTGTCGGCAGTTGAAAGTTTTGAGATGATCCCTATATTCTGGTGATCCGGAACTGACTTAACCACGTGGTCCCATAAATTGCTTATTTCTCTAAAAATATGGCAGATGTAAGTAATATTTTTGTTGTTTTATAAAGGTGAAATGTATATGTATGCAATGTATTGTTAACATTTAGCAGCTTGATTCTGTTGTTATTTCACACGGGCCGTCCAGAATGAGTGACCTTTTCCTGACGTGCCAACGACAGATGACGGGATGATAGGTGTCCTCGTTACAGGGCACACAAGTAAACTTCCGGTTCAGATCAAGTGAAACAAAATATATCATCATGAAGAACACTGTCACGGCTTTAAAATAACACATTGAGTGTATAAATCCATTGAGGTTTACGGTTTCTAGGTGTTAATGTACCTGGAAGTGATCCGGAATACCCGTGATCAGGAATACCCTTACCCGCTGTATTCATTATCAGTAGATGACAACAAAAAGCAAGTTTTTAGTAGCAGGTATTTAAAGTAAGTCCAGAAATGCTTGGAAAATGCTTTTTTGCTTCAATATCAATATGATGAATTTGACACAAGATAAAAGCACATATATGATACGTGTACGACACTACCAAGTTGGATATTAAAGCTCAGATGAAAATCTGCACTTGAGGGGTGACTTCATAGGAGGAAATTTTGACATTTTAACAACATTGGTAAATATTCTAAGTACAAACTGTAGTTTTGAAATACTATAAACATTCATATAGCCTCAACTAATTAGATTACATAAATGATTGTAAAAAGTTTTGTTTTTTTTAACATCTATATGTGAAAAAGATGGAACTCTTGTAGTAGTTATATTCAAAATAATTACATAAAAAAGTCTTCATTGAAATCACATAGATAATCTTGTTCACCCATAGAAGTTTCACTTCGTGAATGAGCATTGAACTGGCAACATGCGACTTGATATCTCTGCAGAACAATTAATTTTAAATTTATACCAGTATTTCATACTGAAGAAACAAAGGGGGAAACCTCTCGTCAGCTATGACAGGGTTTACTGTAGAATGTATAAAGCCCTTAATTTGACATATAGTCAGGTTTACAAGGATGTAAACAAATCAGTTACCTCAGGGGTCGTGTCAAAATCAAAACCAGGTGGGAAACACAAACTGGATAGCTTTGATAAGGGTGTCATACGCTGTGCAGTTTATAAACTGTATGAACACAAAATCCCACTGACGTGTGCTAAAATACAAGATGAGATCAAAGATACAATAAATGTCTCGAAATCAACACTTATTGTAGCTCTGGTAGAAATGGGGTTCAGGTACACCAAAAGGGGAGATGACAGAGCTGTGTTTAGAGAAAAGTACTCAATCCTGTCCATGCAATCAGCTTATCTCACCCACACCCACCATCTCAAGGCTCAGTTGCAGGATTTTCTCAGGCAGTCAGAAA